CGGATCGCCATCTGGTAGTAGTAGGTCTTACTGGTGGTAGGACCTCTTGTGAGTCCGCACGGATGCCGTGAAGCAGTAATACGTATCGGTTTGAAGGATGGGGCAGCCGTTATAACTGTATAGGTAATTGAGACCTTAAAACCTATATCTCAAGGTGGGTGGCGCATTTACGTTGTAGATGTCTATGGGCTTCAGTAACCACTTAACACTGGGTGGGTTGTGAGCTCGTCCACCCATCTAAGCAATAAAAAAGGTGGTGAATTCGCTAAGCAACTCTGCCCTTGAGCTGTGAGGTCTCCTTCGGAGGTGCTTGGGAAGCTGTAACAATTTCCTGTAGCTTTTCAGTTTTATTCGTTGCGAATTGTTGAAAACAGTAACAATGTGGGTCAATTACATATCAACCCCGAAAACTCTTGTCAGATCAAACGCAGCGGTGATATGTTATCTACCTGATAATGTTACAACAATGACCGGGTTACACGTGAGCTACTTATCTTGTGAGTTTTCCTTGTGTCAAATTGTGTGATATGAAAAGATATCATGGAATTCTAAGTAATGGCCGTTTTAGTGCGATGTTATTATTATTGTTATTGTTATTGTTATTAATTTAATTCTTTTTTTTTACTAGGAACAAATCAAATTTACTGGAGGTAGGACCTCTTGTGAATCTGCACCGATAGGTACCACCACCCTGCCTATTTCATCCGTGAAGCAGTAATGCGTTTCGGTTTGAACGGTGGGGCAGCCGTTGTAACTATACTGAGACCTCAGAACTCAAGGCGGCATTTCAGTGGTAGATGTCCTCCGGGCTCCGGTAACCACTTAACACCAGGTGGCCCGTGAGCTCATCCACCCATCTAAGCAATAAAAAAATAAATAAAAAATATTGTATCAATGTGTCGTGCAATTCCCGTATTTAGAATTCGGATTTACTCAAAATGGCGAAATAGTCTTCGTAGCGAGACGATATTGAATCTACTTTTGAGACTAGTAATATAAATCTCAGTTGGATTGTTAATCTGCTGCGCCACATTTCAAAGCGGAACGTATGATTCGGCAAAAATACGTAGGGCGTTAGTACCTACCCGTGCAGGCTTCCAACAACTCATCCTAACACCAAATAAAAGATGATAATCCAAAAGAACCGATGTTCGAAAATCGGGTCACGGCAAGACCAAACCACTCGTCGTGGTAAAAGGCATAGTAAAAAATTATATTGGAATATGCGGACTCACAAGAGGTCCTACCACCAGTAAGAACTGCCTACCGCTAAAAAAAAATCGGTTGTCTGTAAAGTAAACATAAAAATATAAAAAAATATTTTAAACATTTATCATACGATCACAATATATTCTCTGATAATATAATGTTTATAAAAGATATTATTTTCGCAAATAAAGTGCCTTTATTTGTAACATACATTCAGCCAATGTACGTCCATGTTATTCAAACACAAGAACAAATATTTAATTGTAAACCGGTTTTTACAAAAGAATACTAATTATATTGCCAATTGAATGGATACTACGAGTTTTTCATAATTAGACATTTAATTTATGTTTTCGTAAGTTTTTGTCTTGATAAGATTTTTTTATTGCTTAGATGGGTGGACGAGCTCACAGCCCACCTGGTGTTAAGAGGTTACTGGAGCCCATAGACATCTACGACGCAAATGCGCCACCCACCTTGAGATATAAGTTCTGGTCTCAAGTATAGTTACAAAGGCTGCCCCACCCTTCAAACCGAAACGGATTACTGCTTCACGGCAGAAATAGTAACAATCGCACTCAAGGAAATAATGTCAACATATTTAGGGCCATTGGTATGCCAAACTACCAGCCCGCACAGATGCAGATGGGTAACTGGCTTTTTTCTATTTTTAAGCATTCACGTGTGCTGGATCTAAAGTAACTGGCATTATAATATACATCAATTGAATGATCACAAAATCTGTGACTCACTTCAACATAAATGATTGCTCTCACTCTGCGAAACATCGTGCCACATGGCGTCGTATCGCGAGAGCATCGGTATCGCAGGTTTCGACTGATGCATGACCTCGACCACTCTGTCAAGAGTGTACGACTAGGAGAAAGAAGAATTGAGCGGTGTATCTCCAAACTATCAACCCGCCCAGATTGGTCCCCGTCTTCTTTCTATTTCTGAGCAGTCATGTATTCTGAATCGAAAGAAACTGGCATATACTGTACATTAATCGAGTGACAGTTCTCATGTCTCAAAGGTAGGCTTACGTATTGACATTTTGATGTCTAAGAGTTCCAGTAAGTACCTAACATCGGAGCGATTGTGACCATTTTCACCGTCTATGTATTTATTTTCAATAAATTGTTATAGTCAGAGATTTATTTATTACTCAAGAATTCAAATTAGATTGTGAAATCTACCAGTTGCTTAGTTGTTAATGGAGCCCATGGGCATCAACACGTTAATTTTTGGATATGAGGTCTAAGTCTGAAAAGTATTGTTTAATGTTCCACCGTTGAAAGCGAAACGCATAGTCGGGTTGTGGTATCATCTACCCATACCCATGCGAATACATTGCGCGCTACCAACAGTCATTTAATTTTATCTTACAAGGCAGACTAGCACTGGAATCAAAACAATGTAATCACTTAAAACCAAATGGCCCTTGGCTCCTTGTTCTCACAAGAACAATATAAACATTCAAATGATGTTGTCCATGGGCTTCGATAACCACTTTACACTAGATGGGCCGTGACCATGTGTAACACATCTATGCAATCAAAAAAACCTCAATAACAAAATCAACGTAACTCATAGTTTCCTCATAGATGGTATTCTAGTGAAAAAAGATAAAATAACGTTAAGTTTCTTTTGCACGATAAAAAACCCAAAAAATACGATATGACTAATACATAATATAATAGGCGAATAATATATTTTTATGAGAACGAACAGCGATTTAGGTAGATATAAAACATTATGCTAATTTATATTTGTAAATTGATTGGAAACAAATCATGCGGAGATTACATTGAACATATGAGGTCATGTATCTGTGTGCTTAGTGTCGGTTTTTTAAAGTTCTCGATAGCGTAAAAGTTAACTTTAATTTGTATGGAGTTGGAACGTTTGCCTACGTTTGACGCTAGGGGCGCTGTTCCAACTCCATACAAATTTGAGTTAACTTTTACGATATCGAGAACGTTAAAAAACTCTCACTGAGCACACTGGACGAACGATGAACCATACGATTCCAATTGTATGGTGTTATCGTACAATCACAAGCAGGAAAAACTTATCGATAGCAGAACTTAATACGATAAAAATATATTTATATACTTTCATAAGTGCTGACAGAATTGCAAATGGTACATTAAACTCTTTCTTGCAACGCAATATAATATACTATCGAGCGAAGACCTCAAGTTAGTTAACGGTTTCGCAAAACATACATTAATACTTATGTGAAGCCACAGAATTTTAAACATTTAGACCTGATCAAGATTTTTTTTTGCTGCAAGCGTGTTGCGTGTTCACAGCTGTAACTATAAATAAATATAGAGTGGGTAGGCCTCCCTCAAGGTGAACTGATGATCTGTATAAGGTCGCGGGAATCACACTGTAGGCAACGGTTGGCTACGATAGGCAGTGGCTAAAAGAAAAATCGCCGAATGCAGACAGCATCGGAGCGATCGTTGTGGTGAGGCTTCAGGGAGTCTACGTCCAGCAGTGGACGTCTATGGGCTGAAGCATAGGTAAAGCTAAGACATCAGAAAATGCAATGCCGCTATCAAAATTGCCGACCAAATAAAGGCAGCTCTAAACGAGTGCACAAGAAGGACTGCGGTACGCGAGGAATGGCGAAGTCTGGTCAAGCGCACCACCAACCGAAGTGATGACCACGACCACTCTGCCAAGAGTGCATGCGACTGAGAAAAAAGATGTGTGGTGTCATGGGACACCGGATAGGAGCGAAGTTCCATATAAAAAAAAAAAAAAGAATTACGAGAAAAAAATCGCGCGGTGAAATATCGCTGTGCGGAAAACCAGGCCTTATTCCACGGACTTTTTCTTACGGTTTTTACTATCACATTTTTTTCAGTTCGGTCGCGCAGCAAAATCCCTATCTCCTCTAAGCCAAAAATCAAAATTGGGACACAAGAGAAGTTTCAATTACCTAAATTAATTAAACCAAACTTTCACAATACAAGGTAAACGAATAGCTGTTTATCGACAAATTGTAAACAATACAAATCTTATCAAGTTTCGTTTTATTGATAACACAAAATCGCCAAGCCGATACTATTAAAATAATTTCATAAAACTTTCTCTCAGTTATATAATTATTAATGATGATTTAGTGAAAATCAGAATATTAATTTACAGTTAAGGAAAAAAACTTGGTGCTTACGCTGTGAATGTTTAATTATTTGAAAGCTTTTTTTTTAAGTAGTTAGGCAAACGAACTGAATGCTAGTACTGTGGGTGATGCAGCTCAGCTTGAATCATAAAGTTTCAATTAAGGAAATGGTGCGAGAAACGAGCTATTCAAGCTCGAATTAGTTTTTTTTTATTGCTTAGATGGGTGGACGAGCTCATAGCCAGCCTGGTGTTAAGTGGTTACTGGAGCCCATGGACATCTACAACGTAAATGCGCCTCCCACCTTGAGATATAAGTTCAAAGATCTCAGTATAGTTACAACCGCTGCCGTACCCTTCAAACCGAAACGCATTACTGCTTCACAGCAGAAATAGGCAAGGCAGTGGTACCTACCCGCGCGGACTCACAAGAGGTCCTACCACCAGTAAAAGCTAAAAGTAAAAAAGTGTTAGCTTCGCGGCAAAAATAAGCGAGCACCTAATTAAATGGTATATCGAAACCTAATTAACTAGTACGGCGTAGACAGAGCTGATAAACAAAGATACGAAGGCATACCCCCTGACGCCCACTCAGGTACGTGAATCACTATAGTTCAGGCGTATGTAGGTCCCTCAGAGCGATGCGCCGTCGCCACAACCTCACAAGACTCTGTCAGGTCGACGCAAGCGCACGTATCAAACTAAGCCTTGTACAGCTGCGAGTTATTTCATAATAAAATGACAGTTCCCTATTTGTGATGCAAGTGTATGTGTTTACATAAAACGTGTTTTCAAGTGAATGATTATTTTGTTTCGGTGTTCAGTGAAGTATTTTTTGTTGATAATGTTTCCGAGAATACAAGGACTGGTATGTTAATATTTTTTTTTTTTTAAAATAGAAAAAAAGTAATTCAAAATTTAGATGTCAATTTTTTTTTATTGGTTGCATGTTGTGTGTAAGTAGCTAGCTCTCTTTTTACGAGAAAGTGAGAAACGTGTCGATAATTGTTACCAGAATACGCGCTCACACTAATCATAAAAATCTAATCGATTAGAACAATGAAATCTCGTTTTCTATTTATGAAATCGACCCAATTTTATAATCGGACGTCACCTAAACATTCTTTTCACGTATTTAAATAACGATTTCACCGAACATTAATATGGGTGAAATTTTTAAATTAATATCACGTATCACTCAATAGAACTTCTAACGCATTCATAGACCTCGATTTGAGGAATCCGCAGCTATTTTACTGATTAAAACGTTAGGCATGAACTTAATAATAATAGAACTAAATTACGACACACACAAATATTAATCTCGGAATCGAGATTAGTTAATTATTATCATTCCATTTAAACAGTTAACAGAAGGCAAGCATAAAATACACAGGCTTCGAATACTTTCATCTATTCTATTTCAAATTCTATACTATATTAGGTTTTAAACTATATTATATATTGTGCGTATACTCTGACCGGTCACTAAAAACAATATCTCAGCTCTGTAAAATATAAACAGAGCGATAGGGTTCACTGCTCATTTCGTTAAAACATTCTTATCATTTGTGATTTATTGTGCTTCTCGAGTAAAATAAAATTAATACCATGAACACGTAGGTAAGTGTGTACTCTGAAATGAATCACCGTTACGCATTTTGAGGAAAATAAACATTATTAGCTCGATTAATTCTGTGAACTTTGAAATAAGTTGTTTTGCATTGAACCTTTTAGACTTATGCGTGAACGGTTAAAAATTTTCAAATTTATTAATTAGTATCTGGAATACTTTTACTGAAAAAAATTTTCACATATTTAATATTTTCACTTATATAACACGATCTTTTAATTTTAAAACAGTTGTACATTATCAAAGATGTTGGGTCAATTAATAAATACACTAGCCGTTATATCTGTCAACAAAATATAGTAATATTTATTTAAATTAAGAGGATACGATAAATTTGTATTTTGATGCTTCAATATAAGAGTATTCACATAACAATGAATAACAATAAGGAGAAAAAACTAATCTAAAATACTGTGAAGAGAATACACTAAAATTCCAGTTGACTCATTTCGGATGACTCAAGATAATTGCAATTAAAGGAAAGTTATTCGTCATACAAAAATCTACACAGCTTAGTTGCTCAGACAATAACGTGAATATTGTGTGGCTTATGAAGATCCATTTCTATTGTGTACAATTTTTTTTATTTATAAATTACAAACAATTCAGAAACATAACAAAAGGGAATTGAAAGGAAACATTTTGTATATTATCTACATATTTTTATTGCACTCACGGGTGAACGAATTCACTTTACACCTGTGAACTTAGTGCAAGTTTTTTAACTTTCTCGATAGCGTAAAAGTTAACTCAAATTTGTATACAGTTGAAACAGCGCCCCTAGCGGCAAACGTAGGCAAACATTCCAACTCCATACAAATTAAAGTTAACTTTTACGCTATCGAGAACGTTAAAAAATTAGCACTAAGCAAACCGATGCTAAGCCATTGACATCATGACGTGTGTTCCGCAAACTACTTTGAGGCATGAAATGGAACTAGTGTCTATATAATTGAGTTGGAATACATGACGCAGAAATAGGCCCATAGCTCTAACTGTCATAGCTTACAAAACCAAAAAGTATTATACATAGTCTTAGTCTAACATAAGCCGTCTTATTAAATCTTATAAAACAATGCACTTTTGTCACTATTATACATAGTGTATACTACACATGTACAATAAAATATTGTAGTAGGTATAAAGTAATAATACCACTTCAAGTTGAGTTCGTTCAAGTTCAAGCACCTCTTCACATTACGTACATCATAACAATGGATAGATCGATAGAAAATACTTCATAGAAATTATTAAAGGAGAACCTGGTTAGCTTCGGTGATATAATATTTGAACTCGCTAGAGCTAAAATGGAGATATATGTTTTTGAACACCGTGTCAACTTGATACCGAAGTTGAATAGACAAAAACACTAGTTTCTTGAGGTTGAGCTATACGATTTCATCTTTATAAGGGTTTGTACACAAAACTGCGCATTTTTTTATTTATTGCTTATATTGCTGGACGAGCTCACAGCCCACCTGGTGTTAAGTGGTTACTGGAGCCCATAGACATCTACAATGTAAATGCGCCACCCAACTTGAGATATAAGTTCTAAGGTCTCAGTATAGTTACAACGGCTACCCTACCCTTCAAACCGAAACGCATTACTGCTTCACGGCAGAAATAGGCGGGGTGGTGGTACCTACCCGTGCGGACTCACAAGAGGTCCTACCACCAGTAAGCATCGGGGCGATGCGAATTTGCAACGCAGATAACTGCAACACGAATTGCTGAAATGCGATTTCGTGCGGCAAGGATTTTCCTTTCCACAATTGACTTTCAATTCCACAATCCTTTAACATCGTAGGAATATGTGAATCAATTCGCAAGATCTTTCTGTGCGTCGTGGGAGTTCGTAGATTTTTACTATGTGACGTCGCATCGTAGTTTTGTGTACAGGCACTAAAGCCTTGTTCGGACTAGGCGAGTATTTTAGTCGAGTACCGAGTAATTGAGTGGCTAAACTACTCGCCCGAAAAAATAGAACAAAATGGATTGACTTGACCAAATTATTTACTAACCTACTCGACTAAATTTTTGGTGTTCAGACACATTTAGCTACTAAATTACTCGGCACTCGACTAAAATACTCGCCTAGTCCGAACAAGGCTTAAAGCGATCAGAGGTGTTATATAACAGCCGGATAAACATAAGTAAATAAAGATTATGCCGTCAAATCAAATAGATTTAAGTTTTTTATAAATGCTTTACAATTCAATAGGCGTATTATATAAGGTTTTTTTTACCAGGCTTAATTTAGTCATAATTACTGGTTCTCGATGGTAAACAGGTCATGTGTAACTTGTTCTTCGAATAAGTTTCGGTTTTAATATCAGATTTCATGGTCAATATATTAATGTATCTGCTGTATGTGATGAATTTGATACGTTTTTAAGTTGTACATTATTTAACACGTACACCGGCGGGGTAATTATTTTCGTAACCAGAAGTCGGATTTTATTAATTTAGATAAATTAAAATACAGCCTACACATATGCGTGGTGGTTAACGATTTTTTTTTTATAAACAATTTTTAATAATGCTTAAATTGCTATTACCGATGTAGAAATCAGGGGATCGTATATTATAAATCTGTCAGACCGTTGTGAACATGATGCATCCGATAGCGATAGTAATATCAGTCAACAGGTCAACGATCCATTTTGATTAAACACAAATAAATGTCAATGAAAATTGGTCGTTATGCGGTTGGTGGTTGCAAGAGACACGTATTGAAAATAAATCTGTATGCCTTAATAATAAATGGTATGGATAGTAAAAGTTGTTGGAAAAGGTCGTCTTGTGAGCCCGCACACGTCAATTCCACCACTCTATCAAGTTCTGCCGCAAAGCAGTAATGCGTTCCGTTTTGAAAAGGTAAACCTTCGCTATAATATACAATTGAGGACCTTATTTCTTAATATATACGGGCATTCACCTTCCGATGTCTGCAGGTTCCAGTAACTAATTTGGACTGATTTTGTTCTCGGCTCATTCATTCAGTAAAGTAATTCATAATAAATATTTTAAAGTAAATAATTAGTAAAAATAATTCAGTAAAGTAAATAGAACTGTAGATAACGTCAATCTAAACGAAAATTATTAATAAGCCTAATAATCCATTTCTAGAAATTGTTACGCAGGCTTAATTCGAAATCGGCTTAATCGAAGTCGTCGTGGCCTAACAGATAAGACGTCCGGCGCATTCGTGTTGAGCGATGCACCGGTGTTCGAATCTCAGGCGGGTACCAATTTTTCTAATGAAATACGTACTCAAAAAATGCTCACGATTGACTTTCACGGTGAAGGAATAACATCGTGTAATAAAAATGAAGCCCGCAAAAATTATAATTTGCGTAATTACTGGTGGGAGGATCTCTTGTGAGTCCGCGCGGGTGGGTACCACCACCCTGCTTATTTCTGCCGTGAAGCAGTAATGCGTTTCGGTTTGAAGGGTGGGGTAGCCTTTGTAACTATACTTGAGACCTTAGAACTTATATCTCAAGGTGGGTGGCGCATTTACGTTGCAGATGTCTATGGGCTTCAGTAACCACTTAACACCAGGTGGGCTGTGAGCTCGTCCACCGACCTAAGCAAAAACAATAAAAAAAAAAAAAAAAAATTAATTGCTCACACGTAACCATATTAGGTCTATATGTGTATACTAAATGACGTATGTAATCTGTAGATGGATAATGACGTTATTAAAACATAAAAACCTTAATTCGTTTTCATACGCACGCGGTACGAACATTTGTTTTTAATCCAAAACAAAAACAATTTCCTTATTTCTACCTGAATTTTACATCGAGAAAAAGACGTGCTTCGTAGATCTCATTTTATGTTCATCTTATGATATGCTTATTTTAATTATTAGTGAAATAGTATATGGTAGTAACAATGCTTATATCGTATTTTTGTGTCCGATTTACAAATCATTACCCTTTTCAAAAACCATATTTATTGGCTTCTGAGTAAGTCAAACTGACGTTTAGTACTTACTAGATAAGTAAATTTTTGACAGGAACTAAATTAGTTCAAATTAGGCTGGGATATCATCTGATCCAAAGTTTCGCTCATAACTGTTACAAGTTGAATGACGACGAGTCGTTTAGATGCAAAAGGCTCTAAGGTTGTTTCATTAGTAGCTACATTAACTAAGTGTATTATATCTTAGAGCTGTAACGGTATTGTGGTATAAAAAATAAAGACAGCGATAATGCTTAGGTAAGCAC